GTCGTTGGATCGATTCCATTAGACACTTTAAGCTGCTTGTTTGTCGAGGAGAAATAGAGAGAGAGAGAGAACAGAGATGTTACATCGAACATCCACGAAGGGTGGAACGGCGTCGAGATGATCTACGCGGGGAGGGATACGAAATAGGGTGGACGAAGGAAGAAGGATTATTCTGAACGATGCGTTGATGCACAGGCACGGAGGGGAAAGGTGAGAGAATAACGTAATCGCGTGACGAGACAACGGAAGAGAGGAAAATTTCGGACAAGAAGATGTCTCTCGTGTTCCGTTTCGTTCAGAAATGAGAAATTGCCGGAGGCAATTCTTGCGGGAGGATGAATGAATCAACGATTCACGTATTCTGTAGTTTCGTTTGTAGCTAATTTAGGCTAGCGTAATTTAGCTTAATTTCTTTGAGCTTCGGTTTAGCTTCCCTCTAAACTCGTTCAAATTCGAAAATCGAAGAATATCGCCAAATTTTCTCCCCTCCCCGTTTAATCGATCAAAACTTTTTTTCTCGTTTCAGAACATCGTCGAGTGGCTCGACATCGTCCGAGAAGCAAAAAGAAGAACGAAGAACGAAGGAGGATCTCGGAAGAACAGGAAGAGAGTGGACCATCCAGAATGGAAACATCATGTTCACGGATGGAAAGAAAGAAAGAAAGAAAAAAAGGAATCGCAGTTTTGGATTCGACGTTCGAAAAAAAAAAAAAAAAAAAGAAAAAAAACAACGACGAGAGATAGAAATCTTCGGCCGTCTCTTTTTCTCTTCAAATCCCTCTCTTTTTCGCTCGATACCCAGGCCGAAAATGCGAGAAACGTGATAAACGTTGGCCGCGCGAACTAACGCCATCGACAAAACTATCGTGGCCAAATCAAATTTAAGTCCCATGAGTGTAAACTGCATTTTACGGAGATATGTTTTTTTTTTCGGCCGTGTTCGCGCGGTCTGTTCCAACAAGTTTAATTTTCTCTCCCGGGATCCTCCCTCTCCCCCCCCCCCCTCGCTCGTCAATCATTTACGCGTATCGAAAATTAAAACTTGAAATTCGCAACGCGGAAATCGCAGAAGTCGTATCGATTTTCCATTCGTTTCCATTCCCATCCCAAGAGGGGGGAGGGGGCGTCATCTTGCGACGTTTTTTATATACATTAGAATCCCTGCGTAATCTTTCTTGAAAGCGAGTCGCAAATCCGTGTTTTCCTTTCTTTTTTCTTTTCGTCTCGTCGTCTCGTTGGGGACGATTTATATCGCCGGGGGTAAAAGAACGCGGCAGGTAGAAAGAGAGAGAGAGAGAGAGAGAATTGGAGAGGGGAAGAGAAGAGCAGGGAAGAAGACGTCGTAAACCTTATCCGCAAGCACGTGCGGATCGTTAGAAACACCACGTGGACGCGACGATTTCGTTTTACGGGATTGCAGAGGAAAGAAAGGGCAGGACACGGCCGATCCCGGATCTTGTAATAGGATTTCCGGGATCAACGAGTCTTTCCACGAGGCGACTTAACAGTCTTCGAGGCAGGGGCGTAATTGACGCGCTTAAGTTCAGCAAATTTCGAAAAACTTTACCTCGTCGTATTTGTTTGTACAGATCTGTCTAGAAGAATTTTCTTCCTTAACGTTTGCAAGATTAAATCGAGGTCATCGGGCCGAGCCGCGATTAATTTGTACGGCGGGAACAACTGCCTCGAGGAACGAGCAGGTGTTCCAAATCCGGGGCGAAATCAATCGTGAAAAAAAGACGCTCCTCGATTTTCGAGCGACAGTTCGTCGAAACGCGTATCGTTCAGACGCGTCCAGGACGCTCTTGTACAAAGTATTCCTTGTATTCCCTTTGAGCAGCGCGCGTGTGTATGTGTGTATGTGTGTGTGTGTATGTGTGTATGTGCGCGCGCGCGTCCAAATGCGCCGATCGATCGAGACGTCGAACTCCAGATCCATACGTTCTGTTCTACGTAGACGGGGGGGAGGTTTTTTTTTTTTTTTTTTTTAAGGGAAAATCGTCGAAACCGGGTGGGAAATTGGTCGACGGAGTCGTTTGCGGTCTCTCCACTTTCGGTCTCTCCGCGACAAGGGTGGTGGTTGTGTTATTACCGAGCCAAGGCTGAAGAAATCAGGCGGCAGTTTAATTAACGGAGAGTTCGCGGCAAGCATCGCCGTAAGAATTGTTACGGCCTCGACATCGGGCGAGTAATTGCATTTTCGGTGCACCGTCGTCGAATCGTAATATCGGCCTCGATTGGCCTCGGCGAAACGATCGCCGACGGAGAATGGCCAAGGAGGTAAGGGTGGAAAACACAAGCGCGTTGATAATAAAGGCGAAGGGGACGACAACGATGGCCGAGTTACTCGTTAAGAAGAAAAAGAAGAAGAAGAAGAAGAATAATAAGAAGAGGAAGAAGAAGGGGGCCAACGGGGCTCGTAAAACGTTTCTCCAGACGTTTCTGCAATAAAAAAAAAAAAACATTTATGTTAAAATTGGGCGAAACTTGGACACCGGACTTAAATTATCTTTCGCGTTTCTATCGATCGGGGAACACACGCACGCTTAATTTTTACATTTTTAGAGCTATAAAGGATTACGTATAAATAGTTGTCGAACGAACGAGCGAACAGTGTTCCAGCGTTCTTCCGCGAGAGAAGAGGAAACTACTTTTTTGCCATTTCTAGCAATATATCAAAAAAAAAAGAAAAAAAAAAAAAACTTTGCGAAGAGAAGAAAATCGTGGCAGCGTATGATGTCCGTGCAAGCTTACTAGTGCCGCCGTGCTTTTTCGTTACAAATTCATTTCGTCGCTCGTACCTATCGAACGATTTATATGAAAGTCATCGTAAGTCATCGATGGCGCGCCGTTCCGTCTGAAGTGCCGAGATCCCAAACTAATCCCTTATTTCGAATATTTTAATCAAATATGATGTATACCATGATCGAGAAATCCTAATTTCTTTTCGGTCGATCGTTACTGAAATAGAGAGAGAAAAAAAAAAAAAAAAAGAAAAAAAAATCAAAGAGAATAATGTAATATTAAAGTTACTCGAGCCGACGTAATCGACACTTGAACGGAACGACGAGTCTAATCATAGCGAACACAAAAGAAAAATGTATTTTATGATATTTTACGCATAAAACGATCGTAAATCGAATATAGCGATTAGTCCAAGATAAACTTAAGTAGAGGTGTATAAAAAGGAACGCGAGATGTGCATAGCGTCGCGCAATATTCACTAAGGGCTGAGAAGTGAACGCGTCGATTTTGTCGAGCGAATGAAACAGGGCCGCGGAACGGTGATCGCGTGCGAGCGATTGTACCAACCACGTTCATAGTTAATTACCTATAGAGGATCGTCGATCATTAACGTTAGCCCCGTAACGAGATCATCCTGTGCCAGGATCGCATCAAACTATGGAAAATGCGACCAATCTATTTCCGGAAAGTTTGATTTTCTCTTTTATACAGAAGTCGAATGAAAATCGGCTTAAACGATCCGCGGGAATCAACCCTCTCACTCACAGATAACATTAAGCGCTACTGTAAAATATTGTATATTATTTCACGTTATTTATTTTTCAATGTTTTTACTAGGAGACGCGTTTTTACGATACTCAAGAGAAATTATCGCGTAATGTTATATAGAAACATGAAACTCGTTCTGATCCGCGGTGCTGTGCCTATTTTTTCGTGACGAAACGGGCCTGTCAATTTTCCAGTCTTCTAGTATTCCGAGATGACCGTAATAGATTAAATAGAAAAAGGACAAATTACAATTTAGAAGATAATAAAAGAATTTTTGATCATTGTTCGGATTTTTACAGTCACAGCGGATCAGCCGGATTAGAATGTTTATAAAATTTCAACGTATTTCCAGCAGCTTTTGCAGTGTGTAAAACTAACCAGAGAAACCGAAGCAAATCTAGTCTAGGCGAGATTTAAGAGACGTAAGAGCTTGCGCGTTAAAAATTATTACGAACGTGCCGTCCGCCCTCAAAATGATCGGACGTGATCATAAGTGTGAAGCGCGCGAACGCAAGCTTGCCTTGTTCTCGAAAGTTAAGTAATGTTAGTTTTGAAAATGGGGGCCGATCAAACGATTCGTTACGTTTTGTTACGACTCGTGACAGGAAACGATTACGTTCCGTTATTGTCTAATAGCGAACGAAGTGCACTATGGATCGTATGGCTAACTCTAGCAGCACGAAATACTAACGAGGTAATAGCAAAATTGTTGTAAGGGAAAAAAACGAACGCTGCAGATATTAACGAAGCATAAGCCGCTGTTGATGTTTCCTAACATGATCTTCGATTTCGATCGAAGAGATCGGTTACAATAGGTACCGAAAACGAGAATGTTATGACCAAATACCAATTATTTGACATCGCGAAATAAAATAAAAAACCGAAAAGAAAAAATTTACTTAGGACACAAGATTTATATTGAATTTCATTTAAAGACAAAATGATTCAAATCCGCCGCAATTATACCTAACGAAATATGCCTAGTCAACGTGTACGTGCTCCTAAGGTATTTTCATTCCGCATTTATCTATTTCGAGATTTTGTTTCGATATTCATGTAACGTTATTTAATGATAAATTACGAGATTAAAAAAAAAAAGAAGAAAAAAAGAAAAAAAACAGAATGAAGAATTCGATAAATTTGGAGCATTCGTACACTTAAAAATATTTATGTAATGCTAACGATGTTACTTGCGATTTGGTATATGACGAACGTCAAACACGAAAAATATTTTATTCTAGTCGTATCTTTCATGCTTTGCCAAGTAAAATAATATAATTCCTGTGTTAAGTGTAATAGTCAATTATGTTTTAATAAAATCTGCCAAGATTCTTGTCAATACTTTTCTTTCCCTAATCACGAATAAATTAAATTAATCACAATTAAATGAATAGATATAAATGCATAATCATAAAAGTATATGACTAGGAAAGTAGGATTCTCTGAGGAGAATTGGAATATCCTACAAAGTGAATATGCTTATAAAATTATCACAATTATATCAAAATATATATTCATATAAAAAACTCTTCATAGATAATATTAATACATATGCATGTTCGAACAAATATTCAAATCCTTAAGAAGAACATGATTGCTTATAAGTTATAATTATTTGTATAAAATAAGAAATTTAAATAACAATCTTAATATTAGTTATAGCTAAAAAGATAAAATGAACATATGCTTCATATGTACATTTCAATTATCGAGAAAAAATATATAATACCTAAACATTCTTATAGCTAACTATGGTATCCATCTTATGGAGAGAAGTTGAAAATGATCTTAACTGTACTTCTTGACTGTTCGCAATAAATACTGGTTGCGTTTCATCCCATTCTTTAGGAATACCACAGTCAGGTACCGTATAAGTCAAAATATCAAATGAGCATAAACAATCTAATAATGGAAGAAAACTTACAGTACCTGAAATACAAAAGAACCAACAAAATGGATTGTAATATTTCATTAATGTAGAAACATTTTAATAAAAAAATCTTAAATCTGAATTGAATGCAATAAGTTACCTGTGATCTGACGTATAACTTCACGAATCTCCTTTTGTATAGTTTTTACATCCTTTGTACCCACTTCCGGAAAGCTATTGTTTGTATTGTCATTAGTACTATTAGAAGTCTGACCTTCGTAATCCACTTTGAAATCCCATTTCTCTAAAACTTCTTTGGTATTTACATTTGTTATAACAAGTGTTATCTTTTGTACTTTTCGTTGAATAAGCCATTCTTGAATCTGACCAAGAACAGTATTTAAGAATCCTTTGATCTTTTCGTCCGTCGACATTAAAACGAATAAACCAAAATGTTCAGCATGTTCAAATGTTTCTGGCGGATAAATACCTCTTTGGTATAAAATACTGTTTACTCCATAAACTTCAACAAAATATACAATATAATATAATAATAATGTATTTAATAAAATTCTATCTAACGCTCGGCAAAAATATTTTAAAAAAATATTAAAAATATGATCAACTTACGAAGATATTCTTTAACCAACTCTGCTGAACCTTTCAACGTAATACACTTTGTTTTTTGTTGAGTTTCTGTCATAATTTTTAAAGATCTAACACAAAATGAATAACCTAAATTTCTGTTCAAAATTTAACAGCTTTATAGGTTACGAGAAAGGCGGTTTATCATTTGAAAATATCCAATGCACTACCTACTGACCGATATTTCACCAATCACAAAAGGAACGTTCATAAAATAAACCATGATTTGACGCACAATTTTAAAAGCAATATCGATTACAAAAAAAATGTAACATAATTAAAGGAAATCAATTGAGAATTTTCAAAATATAGATAATTATAAATAAATTATAAATATTTAACTATATTATATATTTTAATTAATACACCAAAATGATTAAACTTATCACCAATCGAGAATTACGTCATATCATATGTGTTCCACAACTAACATGTTATCATACAGGAATAACGCCATCTTCGATCAACGTAATTCGCGTTCGATTGTAGCGCCATACATATAAGAATGGAGAACGTGTGTGATTATCGTGCATCCAATTGCGGTTAACTTTCAAGCTCTTTTCACGCGTCCATCATGGCATCCACTGAAGAACTGAGTGTCTCTGCCCTTGTATACGATTATTTATTGAAAAAAGACGCGTCACTGGCAAAGGTTTTTCAAAAGAAAACGAAAGCGGTAAGGTTATAAGAAACTTTTATATATATATATACAGTAGTTGATCGATTTTCAAGATGTTAATATCCATGCGGTACCAGAAGTACCGCCATTTAGCCATACCACGTGGGCAGTTATATTCGTTATTTTATATTTCAAATTTATATTAAAATAAAATTGTCTATTTATTCTCTTTATCTTCTAGATAAATGCTATTTAATACTTTTAAACATATGTTCTTTATGAAATATTATAAATAATAATTAATTTAATTGTAAAAGTAATACGACCTTCATTCACGATTTATTTTCTTTTTAGCCCACATTACCAAAAGGTGCACCAACAATTCTTGATGTATACCAACATTATCAAAAAACATCTCAGAAAAAATTAAATGTAAAAGCACAAGCTAAAGATAGCAGTTCAGATACAAGTTCAGAAAGTGAGGAAGAAACACCAAAAAAAATTTCTCAAGTAAATGGTAAAACTACAGTTAATGCTGTAATAAATAATAAAAAAAATGAATCTTCTTCAGAAGATACCTCTAGCGAAAGTGAAAAAGCACTCAAAGTAGTTACAAAAGCTAAAACTGCTGTTAAAACATCTAAAGCATCACCTGTAAAGAAAAAAGAAAGTACAGATGAAAGTTCTTCAGAAGAGGAAGAAGAGACACCAAAAACACAACCTAAAGCAGTATCAACACCTAAAATATCTAAAGAGCAAAAATCTTCAGATGATTCTGATTCAGAAAGTGAAGAAGAATCTAAAACAAACATAACCGCAAAAACAAATACAAAATCAATTATAACATCTAAGACAAAGGTTGGAGCCAATCAAAAGGAATCTTCAAGTGAAGATAGTAGTGAAAGTGAAGATGAAAGTCCAGTTAAGCCAGTATTAAAAAAAGCAACGCCTATTCCACCAACAAAAACAATAGCAAAAAAGGAAGAATCTTCCAGTGATGATTCTGATGATTCGTCAGAAGAAGAAAATGCTAAACCACAATTACCAATCAAACCTAAATCAGTTATAAAATCTGCCAATGTTACTAAACCACAGGAATCATCAAGTGATGATACTGATGATTCATCAGAAGAAGCAACTGTTGCAAAGACATCAGGTATTATTTCTAAATCTAATCAAGAAAAGAAAAAACAAGAAAAAAATGTTCAACAAAAGAAAGAAGCAATAAAAGTTGGAAAACAAAATAAAGGTTTAGTTACTAAATCAACAGTAACAGTGACTAAAGAAGAATCATCATCTAGTGAAGAAAGCAGTGAAGAAGAAGCTAAAAAAACTAATGTTCTTCAATCAACATCAGTTGCTACTAAAAAGGTTCCATCTAAAAAGGAAGAATCTTCTAGTGAAGATAGTAGTGAAGAAGAACCACAAGTTAAAAAGGTCCAACCAGTAGCACCATTTTCATTCATCACAAAAAATGTTCCAGTTAAGAAAGAAGAATCTTCTAGTGAAGATAGCAGCGAAGAAGAACCACCAGTCAAAAAAGTTGCTGCTTCAGTAGCACCAATAACACCAAAAAAAGTATCTGTTAAGAACGAAGAATCTTCTTCTAGTGAAGATAGCAGTGAAGAAGAAGAACCATCAACCAAAAAACCTGTTTCTGCCAAAGTAACATCAGCTAATACCGTAATTAAGAAAACTGAATCTTCTAGTGAAGATTCTGATGATTCTGATGAAAATGAAAAATCAGTTACAAAATCAACAACAAAATCAATAGGAAAAAAAGATGAGTCTAGTTCTGAAGATTCATCCGAATCTGAAGATGAAAAACCAGTACCTACCAAAACACCAGTACCACCAGTAAAAACAATTACGAAAACTGATACTAAAAAGGAATCATCCAGTGAAGATTCTGATTCAGATTCATCAGAAGAAGAAAAACCAAAAACAATGCCTATTGTTTCAAAATCAAAAACAACAGAAATTAAACAAGATACAGAAGAAAAATCACAAAAAACACCTAAAGCTGAAAAAAGGAAACATAAAGAAATAGAACAAGAAAAAGATGATGAGGATACAGGAAAACCTCCAGTAAAAGCTCAAAAAAATAACTATAGTAATTTTGTAAAGGCAAACAATAGTTTTAATAATGACAAGGTAATTATATCATATTTAATATATTTCTTTAAAAAAATTTTTTTTTTATTTATGAAATTGTATGTTTAGCAACCAAAAAATACTCCATTTCGTCGTGTAAAGGACGATGAGGTAGAATTGGATCCCAAATTGGCAAACAATTCTTTTGAGGCAAAGGTAAATGCTTGGAAACATCTGAAAAGCACAGATCACTCGCCGTTTTATATAAAGCTTGAGACCATGTTTCCGTGCATTCACCAATTCCTTTTTTAATTTTTCTATTTTTCTTTTTTTTCATAGAAACTTTAAAAAGATAGAGATAAAGATAGTTGAACAAATGTTTATGAATATATATATATATATATAGAAAACGGCGATTGACCTGAGTTTCTCTTTTGTTTTAGGAGGACAATCAGGAAGAGGGTGGTTTTAAGAAACATGGTGGAAGGGGTGGATTTGGTGGAGGCAAAGGTGGTTTCGGTCGTGGTGGATTTAAGGGAGGTCGTGGCGGTGATAAAGATAGGGGTGGACGCGGTGATAGGGGAGGTAGAGGTGGTTTTAAAGGTGGTCGAGGAAATTTTAAAGGTGGTTTTGATAACAGAAGATCATGGGGTGGGAACGATAGGGGGAATGATAACGAAGGAGGCAAGTCCGACGGATTTAGAAAATCATGGGGTAATAGTGAAAGAGGTGGTCGCGGTGGATTTAGAGGGGGTAAAGGCAATTTTGACAGAAAAAGATCATTCGATAGTGCGCCGGTACAAAATAAAAAAATAACGTTTGACGATTGATGATGATAAAGATATATATAAAGGTGAGGGGTAGTTAGTTTAGAGTAATCAAATATTCAAGTAAACGTTATTATAATAAATAAAAATATAATTTTTTTTTTCTTTTTTTTTTTCAACAGAAAGGTGCTCGTGGTTCTTGGGGAGAAAAAGCGAATCAAGACCTCAAATACACGAGAGGAAAGTCATTTCGTCACGAAAAGACGAAGAAAAAACGTGGTAGCTACCGCGGCGGTCAAATAGATACTAGCGTCAATTCTATTAAGTTTGACGATTGAATAAACATTATATTGTAAAATATAAATGAATATGTTTTAACATTAGTAACTCGTATATTTAGTTAAGTGAACAGATAGAAGAATATTAGGACTTGGTTTAAGTTTTCCTTAATAAGACACTTTGTTAATATCTTTGAAATCACACATTAACACTATGTTACAATCATAGAATATAAATTTTATTCATTTTATTATTACATAAGTTATTTTCACGTAGTTCTTTTTTAATAATTAGTATCTATAAGACTGCAAATTAAATATATTTGACGAAAATCTCTACCACTTATTTTAATATGAGAAGTATAATTTATGAAAGATACTTCGATACTGACTAGCTTTTGAAAAATTAATGAATGTTTATTGCAATATGTAACATATTTCATAAATTATCCTTCCTAGAATTCATAGGAAATTTGATAGATATCATTTAAATTTGCTAATTAAAACTTGTAAAAGATGTTGCTTAAAGGAATCCTAGCTTTACTTATCGTCAAATGTATCGGGAAAAAATTTTCTGAAGATACATTCTCAATAGTTTTCAATAGAAATGTGTTTTGACATTGCTTTTTTATAATTAATAATAAGAACTTGCGATAATGTCAAATCGTTCACAATCATAATGAACTCTGGTCAAAAATTCAAATTATAAAATAGAATTTGCAAATTAATGTTTATATGTATAACAGCTAATATTTAAAGAAATTTTATAATTAATTTATACACAAACAATTCGATAAATCTAATTGGCAATCAATTTAAATAAAAAAAAACAATATCAACACGCAATTTTGGGTATTTGTTAAATTCTCATCATTGTTCGTTTAAAAACACGTATACCTTATCATACATTATCACGAAATAATTATCTTAAAAACAATTTATCTTTATTATATTATTATTTTAATCTTCGTATCTGCGTAAATATTATCTTAATATTTCTAATTCATAAATGATTATTCATAATTTTTTTGTATAAAAAATAATAATTCCGATGAACATGCAAACACTAGATAGAAACTTTTTGATGAAATATAAAAGAAAAAGAGGGACGTTCTTAAGTTACCCTTTTTCTCTTCAAACTTTTTCTTCAATAAAAAAAAAAAAGGTTTCGAGGTAGAATAGGGGCCGATATTCCTCATCTCATCCCCTCTTTTTCCTTGGCTCTACCAGAGCACAGAGAGTGGTTACTTACGATTCTACAGTCAACCTCTGGACATCCACCTGTGAGGACGGAGGTGTTCGACCCCACGACATCCGGTGCGGTGACATGAACGGTGTTTAAGGAACTCGTGTGCCCCCGTTTTAATTCAATTTCCTTCTTCCACTAGAACATTGCGATCAATTCATGTAACGCGTATAATTGTATTGTCAAACAGACCGAGAAAACGATTCAAGTTCACAGTGTTAAAAAATGGTCTTCCTCATGGTGAGTGACATCCTGTAGACTGTAACAGACATTAATTAAAACATTTTCATGACTGAATCGTTGAATGTAACATCACAAAATGGTACGTACAAATTTTAATGACTTGAAAGCTTATCGGAATCATAATGATTCTCCAATAGTTCATTTAAGTTAAACATTAATTCTCATCTATAAATAAATAAATATCTGATCTATATTAAAAATAAAAATAAAGTAATTACATTCTGGAATCGAAGAACATTTGAATTTCAATTTTTACTTAAATGTAATTAAAGCTCTTACATTTTTACAATTAAAATTTTAATACAGAATGGAATAGTAAAAAAAATTATAATTTAAACTTTTCAATGGAAGATAAGATATGAATTGATCTTGATAACAAAAATACGTTGATATTTCAAGAAAAAGATTTTTTTATAAAAAAAAATAACGAGATATTTAAAAAAAAAGGATAAATAAATAATAATTTTGAGTTGATTTCTTCCTAGATAATTTCTAATTATAAAATTCCAATCCTTTACAATCTTTTGCCCCTCTTCATTACTCTATTAATATTTAGTCTATTCTATGTCATGACACATAAAAGTGATAACAAGCTATTGGTTAGAAAATCATCACGATGTGAATGCAGAGGCTGGAAGAGAAGGAATTCCAATACGTAACAAATCCATGACATTATAATAATATATTCATATAACGAAGAATCAAAATGATTGTACCGTTAACAGAGACCAAGGATGAGTAAATGTATACTCGATAAAAGAACGACCGGAGAGAAAAGAGCGTTTTGGACGATTCATCTTTACCGTTAGAACCAACCGCATGACACGCTCATGGTCCACGAGGAATCTTCTCCTGACTACCGGAAGCATAATTTTTCCTAAACTCTTTTTCTTCGTTATGTTTCATCAATTTTATTTCATTTATCAATATTACGTATATAATTATTTTATCTTCCTCGAAGCAATTTCACAATTCCAGTTAGATAAATCTCATTTCAATTCGATCGATTCGAGTGTTTCCACGATCAGAGATAGCTAGTTAATTAATCCTGTTTTAATATATTAACAGTACTTCTCCGATGGTTACTGGGAAAAATTTCTAAATAATAAAGTGAAAAGTTACAGCACAAATAATTGTTTTTGTCGATGATGAATGGAAACTTATGGAAGACCTCGATTTTCCAAGTTCAAGTGATTCTCACGTCTTTCTTAACTCGGTCTTTTCTTTTTCGCAAGATCGCCGTTATGTAATTCATCGAAGCTTGACTAAGATAGTTACTCGATAGCCTTTACCGTGTGATCAATATCACGTAAAGATTACGATCATTTAATCCATAAAAAATTAGAAAAAGCTACAAAAGACAAATCTATGTTAATATATATATTTTTAAATATTTACAACGAGATATATTTAAATTTCTAAAATCAAAAAATATTTCCATATTTGCGTGTGATTCTATCAAGATAACATGCATCCTTTACGATATTATCGCTGAACTATATACAATTCAGTTGTTTCTTGTGGTACAGGAAGAATGCTGGACAGCACATCCTGAAGAAATAGATGCGCGATACCAGTCACGGCCAATGACCAGCCTTGGGTGCTATCCAATAATGATTTTCTTCCTTTCCTTTCCCACGCGCAATTTATCACTTGGGCAAACATCAAACCGCAATTTTATACCACGTTGACCATTCTATTCAATTTCAATTCGTCAAATAATAATTGAACAAGTTAAAAAAACTAGATCAAACGTTTACGTTTCTCTAGGAATAAAAGTATTCGAAATTGAACAGCTGCATGCTATCGCGTTGCTTTCACTCATATTTGATCGACAACGAGAAATACATAGCGGAAGTTATGTGAACCTGGCAACCTACAAACCTCAAACTCCATACATGAATTCATATTGGTTACGCGCGTTCATTAATTATTATTCTCGAATGCATACGTTCTCTCGTCAAGACGATTTTCATCGTTCGTGAGGCTCGAAAGCGAAAAAGCTCGAGACCAACCCGTGAAACGGAATCTCTGTCGAAGAACGGAAACAGAGAATAATGATAGACTTAAAGGCAATTGTTAAATAAAATAAAAATATAGATATGTACGAATCTTGATCACACCATCGGTAATGAAAGCGTGCTAAAGAATGATTGGATGAATTTTTTCGGCCACGATGCATCACGATCCAAAGCCAATGTCATTTACTTTTGCTCTTGACCTCGTGCGAAGTCGAGTTCCAAGTCTGTTCTCACTCGCATAGTGGGTCCTGGTAATCCAGAGTCCAGTGCCAGTTGTGATTGTTTTATTCATGAGATGTTGCTCGTCGGCTTAATTAATTTTCATTAATGTACGTGTCTTTTAAAACGGCTCTTGATACGTGAAACTATCTATTCGTTTCCACGCTTTCGTTTTGTAGAAACACACGATTATTATTATCGTAATTCGCCAACCTAGTTTTGGAATTGAAATGTTAACCTGTCCTCGAATCGATAAGCAATTCAATTTTACCGGATTCAAGTGTGTTATTATTATAGTTTTTGATGTAATTTCAGATGTCCAGGTACCTCGGTCTGATTCTGCTCGTTATTACAACATGCGCCCACGGAGCCAAAAAATGCGAGGGAAATGGTTTGGGCTTGAAATATGTATGGGGCGATGCGCTCACGGATCCAGCCGATTGTATAGGTCCAAATAACGTGCAGTACCCGTCGTAAGTGTCCTCTGATAAAGCTCCCCAGCTAGAATTTGAATGATTCATTTTACTCGAGATTTTCGTTATCGATTAAACGAATGACTGTCACACAGAGCCGCAATATCGAGAAGTTACAAGAATCTTTGGACGAACAGCCGAATTGCGAGATCTCACCAGGCACGAACGATCGATCCTGAATTAACGAGGCAGGCTCTATTGCACAATTACAAAATTACCCATGGAGATTATTCGATGGCCGAATCCTCGCGAAATGGTGAGTTCGTAAAATCGATAGATTGTCGTTTATCTATCGAAAAACAGATCTTTCAGAAAAATTCATTTCCTTAGAGAGATTCGTTCAGATTAAATTCGAAACGTTTTGTTTTGGAAATGACGTTTCCTATTCGGTCGCAAAACAATTTAACGGATCACGATCGAATCGAGAACGTGGCTTGGTTGAAAACACGCGGAAGACGAACTTGTCTCTCTTGCTCGAAGCGCAACAGTAGTCGAGCCGGTTACCTGAATCACGAATAATTACGCACAGCTATAACCTACATCCGCGTCGAACATAAGCGATGTATTTATCCTGCAATTGCTACTCTCTTTGTCCAAATATAAGTATATATACTATTCATTTGCATACTCACTGCGCTCGTATACACACCTCCAGTAACCCTCAACAGACATTATGTTGGCGCTTAACTTATAATTATTGCAGTTACTCCTTCGGGATATTACCAAACGTTCACATACGCTTTACGAGGTTATTGTACTCTGGTCTGGTAATATGCAAACATTGTATTCTCATGTGCTAGCATTTCCACGATCAACGTTCTTGGTAATTCGCTATGGAATATGCTTTTTTATAAAAAAGAAACCGTTTTCCTTATATTCGCTGTCGTGTGAATACTTCTTCTTTCTAATACCGTTGCGTCTACGATAAGAACGCTTGAAAAATTCCAAAAAAACTGTAGCATTACTCTGTAAAGATTATGAATTCCCACGAATGCTTCTAAAGAATCTTCAAAATCGCCTTTAATATTGGAAGCATATTGGAAAACGTATAAAAATTGGAACAACCGGTTGCGCGATATATCGCCACTTTGCAACCTTGAATTATGCAGTTGTTCTTATGACACGAAAACCCGATTCCGACCGAGCTCAACACCCGCTGCACGGGTGTTTATGCACGGTGAATTCTTTTCCTTGAAATTCGTGGCTTGTCATTTCATGATTTAACGTCTATACGCGCGAAAAATGCATCAGTTCAAGCGTTATCGTTTACCGGAATCGATTATTCGTCCTTTAAATAATGACTCGCTGATGCAGGACGGTAATAAGGCACCGTGTTATCCGGCCAATACAGTTATCGCTCGTTCTGCTCATAACGGGACACTGGCGACCCACTCGTTTCGAACACATGAACCGACAGAATTCCAAAGAAAGGGCGTGAATCTCGTAAACAAGTTTAAGAGAGAACCTCCTTCTTTTTGATCGTTATCCAGATTTTTTTTATTAAATAATTCTTGCGTGATTTTTTTCTAAGAATTTTGCAAGGAAATTGAATATTTCTTTAAATATATGAATGCATTTTAAAAATATGAAAAATTATATTGATAAATTCTAAATATCGAGAAATTATCTTTTTTTTTATGTGGGTCGACGTGTTTTTTCTTTTAGGCAGAGGATTTTCCTCGAGGGAAACATGCGGTTCACCAGCTAGATTATGCAAAACGAGGTACAACACTACGGCACCTATGTACGGAGTCAGTTTAACCAGCGGCCAACCTGTGACAATCGTGCAAAAATTCCCTGATCTTTTGCAGCAAGTTGTATTCGAAGTTTGCGAGTGAGTATTTGCTATCGTATCTTTGAGTATCATGATCTTTTAAAATTCGCTTAATCATTCGTGTTTGCAAATTAAAAAACTAGGTTCGATCATTACTTTCGTAGCACGTTCGATCGTGATCTGTGAATATATGCGACGTGTTTCCAATTGAAATTCGTCGAGACCTACTGGTAAGTACATTAATTCGAATCTGGCACAGTGGGCCGGACAGCTCTGACCAGGACAAAGCCTACTTTTGAAACGTTTTGGACCAGTATTTCCGTTTGTATTATCGAAGCACGACGTGTCGTAGATCAGTAGTAAACTGCCAAGAATTATCTTGACACCTTTTTCTCTCCTCGTCATCGGTTTAATACTTTTCCTGTTAAATAATGCATAGTACAGAAACGTTAACGCATTGTTCCAGATCAAAAGAGTGCGATGTAGTCCACGGTGAGTGCACGCAGACATACGTGCCATACCTGTTCCTGGTGATTCCACTTGGACCGGTGACCTTGACCGGTCAAGATTACGTTCTGGTCGAGAGTGGTTGCGTGTGCAAGCCGAGAAATTCGGCGAGCGCCATGTCCGAGCCTCCGGCTGTTCCAAGCTTTTAAACGTTCGTCGAACTCTAGCGATCGACATCGAGCGCACCTTTACACCTCTGCGCTGGAGGACATACAGCTCGAGATCCGTGTCGAATGTGACGAATCGGTGGAAGGTGACCCGAAGCTCGAACAACCTCGCCGAGGAACCTAGTAACCTCTTTGACGAAGCTAGCAAAGGATGCTGAAACCAGTATTGAAGTCGCTAGAGAATTGATTTCTCGAGAGAAATCTAGAATATGAACAATTTTCCCTGCGTATGCAGTACATCTTTCTTCCGCGACGGAATACTAACTTTTACCGTGGATCAGCTTCTCTAGTTTGTCCGAGGTGTCATGTCACGATTTCCACGAGGAGCAGCTTTCTATTAAAGCTGAAGATTCCTTTCGTTGCGATCTCGAATATTTCGTGAAATTCATCGTATAGATAATTTAGACGTCAAAGAAAAGACTCTTTTATCATGAATCATTTATAACAGGGATTCAGTCGTACATCGGTATCGATTATAAAATTCGATTATAAAATTTATATTTCATAATATTCATTTTGTATTTTTGTCGGTTTCTTTATAAAAAAAAGAAATAGTTTCAAAGAAACAACAGTAAAAAGTTCGTAGTTCGAATAATGGCGCGACCCCTTTATCATCGTTTTTCTTGAAGTAAAAAAGAAAAAGAAGAAGAAGAAGAAGAAGAAGAAGAAAAAGAAGGAAGGAAATAAGTTAGAAGAAATTATTTCAACGTGAAAAAACAAATCGGAGCAGTGGCGGTCGTTTCGCGGAATCCGGTCTCGGAATCCGATCGAGTTCACTAGACCTGCCCACGAGCCGGTTTCAAGCAGGTGTATAGAACAGCTTGTAACAGTGCTCCGCAAGAAATATCAGCGAGAAATTCTTTCGAAACGTATCACAAAGTTATATCATTTGCGTCAATTGCATATTAACGTTGGAAACTTTGTTAATATGTTTTCCAGTTTATCATCGAATCCTTAATATTACCATTAAATATCCGTTCTGTTTTATTGATCATAAGATAAATTTTTTAGAATTCATTTTCTTCGTGTATTCATTTTCTTGACGTATCATATATGAGATACATATAACAATTGATTGATTAAAGCGGTCATAAAAACCGACCGACCGAAAAATCTAGTTTTGATTTTCTTTCTCAATATATATCATTAATTAAAGAAAAAAAAATCTCTTATCATTGCACAAAACGTATAAAATAATTTTTCGTGAAGATAAAATACTAAAAAATAAAAAAAATCGTTCTTATTCTCATATTGGAATCAGTTAAATCGTTACTGAAACACGCTACTGGCCTGTTTATATTTCTTAGAACCGGACTTTGAAAGCTCGCGTTAGAATCGTACCGACAAACAGGATAGACGTGCAGTCGCAATACGAATGGACCGTACCATGAATTCCGATGAGTATAAAGTACCGTTATCCGCTTTGCGGGACCCTTCACCTCGATTTACTTCACTTGGTTATTTCATAGGCAAGATTTATACGGCGCCTACAAGTAGCTAACTTGTGTCGTTCATTCATGGCGCGCCACTTAATCATCAATAGCTCTTTTGCTTTGATCCAGGTATTAGTTTTCTACGGTGCTTGTGATTTTTCCTATGCAATTATAAAAAGCATCGTAATTCTAAAATTCAAATATTTAAGTCAAAAAATAACAATTGAACAAAATGTCTTCCGATTTTGTATATTTCATCGTAAAAGAAATTAAATATCGATTGTTCGTTAGACAAAATACAAGATGGAGCACATCAAACGTTATAAGTTTTTCCCGAAACTACTACATGATATTGACATGCTTCTTTTTTTAATATTTGTATCTTATATGATTTGTTTATCAATGATTTAATATAAAAAAAAAAAAGAAACATAAATATCTATAGTAGTTTAGGAGAAAATTGTTTATAATTTTTTATGTGATTCATTTTATATAAATGGGAATTAAATACAAATACGAATTCGTATATCGATATTCTGTGTCAGTGCCGTACGGAAAAAGTGATACATAGAGAAATGCAGTAATGTTACATACAGCGAATTTTTTTCATATCGCATGTCATCTTTTGTATCTATAGTTGTAATATGCAAGTATATATTTATAATTTATTATTAGATTATGGCGTATTATGTAAATGAATTTTCAACAAATTTCAATTCCTTTATATCCTTTTCTATTCCTTGCTTACAACTATTGAAACGAAATTTCGTTTCAACATATGATTAATTTAAAATAATCAAAAATGAATAAATACATACCTTGAAATTTATTTTTAGTATCTAACGGTACCAAAAAAGTATGCACAACTAACGCCAATAACCGGAAAAAATAAATACGTACATACTATGAAATACTCGTATAATCTTTTCAAAGCAACTACTTGAATCATTTTCTTTCCATATACTTGAAACGGAAAAATGTATATAAAATCGTATCTTAATTAGTTAAACTATTTATTAATTTCTTGCTATTTAATACAAAAATATTATCGATAAAATATAACTTATTTTTCTGTATTACAATAAATATAAATTATGTAAATTATATTATTAAATAAAATATTATTGCAAAATTCAAATTCTTCCTAAGAAAAAGTTTTGTAAAAAAAGGAAGTTGGTAACACTTACCAATAGGTAGCACTGTTTATTGCCAAGCAACTTCAATTTCCTGTTTTAACGACACGGTCGCCATGTTGGCGGAATGATCTATTGTGTGCCCGCGTTGATATGTACTCCATTTTAACGTTCGATATTTATATGTACAAGATTATACAAAGTTTCGTAAATAAGAAGAGATACAGTATCTAACAACATTTACTTTTGATTTACTTTTTTTCATTCGTCGTTGGAGAAAAAAATTGGAACATCGCCAATTCTCAACGAATATCGTGCAATTTTTGGTTTTTGCACATTGCCAAAATGATGTACACGGTAAATTTATTATTATTATTATATTTACCGTTAAAAATTATACTTTATGCTATTCAAATTCTATTGAATTTAATTATATTGCTTTTAATTCTTCGTATTTTAAGTTTTAATTATTAAATTATAGGGGACCACCGCGTCACAGGACACGAGGTTCAGCGATAAGGAGAAAAAACTTCTCAAACAAATGAAATTTGGTGATTCTCTTACTCAGAAAGTAAATATTTAAAATATAAATAATATAGATATACTTAATTATATTATTGAATTTCAATTGATTACACTAATCAATTTTAGCTTTCATATTCATTGTAAATTATTATATTTTAGGTGGATATGAGCAAAGTTAAACTGGATGTTATTAAACCATGGATAACTACAAAGATTACACAGATTTTAGGCATGGAGGATGATGTAGTGGTAGAATTTGTATATAATCAACTGGAAGAAAAGGTAAGAAATTTGTTGTACATATTATTAGTGTGACTGTAATTAGGCCTAAGAGATTTTAAATTAATAATATGATATATAAAATGCGTTCACTTGGCTTTTTCCCCTCATCATAGGAAATCGATAAATACACATTATTTCAGCACAATGTTTTGTACGAGTACCAATGTTGTTACGAATGCTATCATCCAAAATCTGCACAATGTGCTGACTTTGGAAATGAAAAGCAAGGAGGCAGAAACCATATTAGTCATATTTGCCTCATTGTTTTTTCTTTTTTTTTTTTTTTTTTTTGTAATTTTAATAATACATCATCGAACCTCTATATCCTGTGTATCCTATTTTTATTAACCTTAAATATCCATTCCAAGCTATATCCTATATCAACGAAAAACTGATGTAGCTGATCCTGCAATACTGTAACATGTAAAATCAATGTTTTATCACGTATGTTTGAATTCCCCGTTAGTATAAGTAGAGACCGTTGGTGGGGCTCAACCCTATTGTCCAAATGGCATTCGGATGTGCTCCTCTCTGCATCCGATTGGCCGCCTTTCTATCAGCCGTCAACGCTAGCTGATGCCAGCTGGTATGTCAACGTCATCTTAGAACACTGCTGAAACTTCAGCCTCAGCAGTTCATCCACCTTCGATTCATCGTCACTGGAGAAATGGCGTATTCGCAATAATCTCATCGCATCATCCTGTTCCTGTGGCACTGCCCGTGGCCTTCTACCATTCTGCAGATGTCTTCATTGCTGTAACGGCGTCTACTAGCTGATCATCGTCTTCGCCAGTTCGTGACTGCCTCGTTCGAGGTGGTTACGCTTCAAAATTGCAACTACAAACCACTGCATTGCGGCTTTCGATCATTGGACATCCAGTGACAATCGGCACTTCCAATTGAGGCAAGACGAAATCATCGTACTATCAACCCAGATGCTGCGATCATCCCACAAGGACATCAACGGGGTGTATTCTCCTGAGATGCAGGTTGCAACATTTTCCGTGCCTCTCAACAACATCCTGACGAATCAAGGATCATTACATCATGCAGGTCTGTTCTCCAGTTAATGATTCTCAAGACATACAATCAATCCCAGATGCGATTGACTCATGGACGATGCCGGAGGTATCTCTACTCGGTTTGACACTCTTTGTCAACGTCACAGGTTGGTGGAACGGTGTTCCTTCTATTCCAAATTAATCCTTTCATTTTCAGCTAACACTTTCAACACATATTTCTAAGTCCTATTTCAGCATCTTTATTTTAGCAGTATTATTAAATTAAAAAGGTATAAATGTATCTGTGCTACTTGTGCGTTTATCGATGAGTATATATTTTTTTTTTCTTAGCATATTGCATATTAGTACAGACGTGAAACGAGCAGTTTTTTGTTAACGGTAAGGTATATTAGAAATATAAAAAATATATCTGCTTTTTCGAGGGGGAAAAGCAGTTAGTATCGACGTAGGGAGATGGAATTTATAATGTTCATTCTTTCATAATAAAATTATATAGAACTGAACTTCTAATGTTCGTTCGTGTTAATAGCTCGTGATAATAAAAAGGGTACTGTATATTTTACAGTTTCCTGACCCCCGAAAAATGCAGATCAACCTCACAGGATTCCTGAATGGAAGGAATGCCCGATCTTTCATGGGTGAATTATGGGACCTTTTGGTCTCTGCTCAGGAAAGTGTTACGGGCATTCCAGAGGCTTTCTTACAACAAAAAAAAGATCAAATTAAGAAACGTTTGGTAATTATTAAATTTTCACATTGTTATTCTTTAATGTTATTCCATGAACTAATCTATTAATAGTAAAACAATTGAATAACTAAATTTTGACATTCAATAAAATGTTCAATTCAATCAATTTTTTTGATACATACAATTCAATTTAGATCTTTTATGTTTATTTACAAATAAGTAATTTATGAAATCAGGAAGAGCAAGAGAAACTCCAAGCTTCTTTGGCGGAGAAAGAAAAGGAGAAGGAAAGAGAAAAGGAAAAAGATGAAGCAGAAAACAAGATAAAGAAAGAAGAAAAAGAACGAGGTTCATCGAAAGAACGTCGTAGAGATCGAAGTAGAGATCGTGATAGGGACAGGTATTTCTTTACTAATAAATCTTTACTAAAAAAAAAAAAAATAATAAATATTAGATATTTTTGTCTAATTTTATATATATTTTAAATAAATATCATTATTTGTAGAAAAAGAAGTCGATCGAGAGATCGACACAGAGATCGTGACAGATCGACTCGTAAACGACGATCCTCTTCGAGATCACCTAGTAAAAATTCGCTTAAAGACAACGGGAAAGATATGTCTGAAATTAAAGTGGAACGAGAAGATTCGCCACAACCCGAAAATGCTATACCGCTCATGCCTGTTAAAACAAAACCGTAAGTCTTTATATTTCATTATTTAAGATAAACTCTTAAAGATTATTTATTAAGGTGTTTCAACAGAGAAGCTGCTGTCGCAATATCTCGATTGCAAGCAAAATTAATGAGCATAGCTGATGGAAAAAAGAAAAATAATCGTACTCCTTCTCCTGAGTCACTAGAAAAAGCGAAAAAATCTAGATCTAGATCAAAATCACCAATAAATCGCTCCAAAAAATCTAGATCTAAATCCCCAAGTCGAGATTCAAAGACACGTCGTTCTCGATCACCTGCATCTAGATCGAGACGATCTCGATCTAAATCAAGATCAAGGCGATCCAGATCTAGATCAAAATCCAGAAGATCCAAATCCAGGTCGCAAGATCGTTCAAAATCAAGACGTACCAAATCTAAATCGCCAAGATCGCATTCAAGATCTCGTTCACGATCTAAAAAGTCACGATCAAAAAGTAATGATAGAAGTAAATCTAGAAAATCAAGATCGGACTCGAGCGATTCAAGATCATCAAAATCTCGTTCAAAATCACCTGATAAAAGAAAGGATAATCTCGATTCTAACAGAAAACGAGATGCAAGTTCAAGTAGTAGTTCCGAATCAGAAGAAGATAAAGGAGCAAAAGATAAAAACGATTTCGAAATTAGAAAGAAAAAAGATGGAGTACAGGCAAAGAGATCATATAGAAAAACGAATAAAGATGACAGTGGCAGTGACAGTGATTCAAGTCGAGAAAGAAAATCTGTACCTAAACGAAGGAGTCCAACACCACGAAAAGATAGAGGTCGATCTAAGGATAGAGATAGATCGCGAGATAGATCACGTGATAGATCTCGGGATAGATCTCGGGATAGATCTCGAGATAGGAACAGAAGGTAAATAATATAAATATTTTATTGTTATAAATGGTTGAACAATTTATTGATCTTAATTTTTGAATTAATTTCTTTTAGGAGATCCATAGATAGAGAACGGGAAAGAAGAAGAGAACGAGAGCGAGAAAGAGAGCGAGAAAGATTGGATAGATATAGCGGCAGTCGCAGCATGCGACCTCCATCTGTGCGTAGAGCACCTAGTAGACGGAGGTAAGATAAATTTCATTAACATCAACTATTTGTCATAAATAAATCATATTTTATATAAATAAATATCACTAATATTAATAATAATCTATAATTATAATTTTTACAGAAGCCCTCATCGTAGAAGTCCGGTAAGATATCGTCGTAGATCACCCAGTCCTGGAGATAGGCGCCGAAGAAGATCCCTTGATCGAAGACGAAGATCATCAGAAAGAAGAGACAGACGTCGATCTCCAGATCGTCGTGATAGCAGACGTCGTTCTCCAGATGGCCGGGATCGATCCCTCAGGTACGATAGATCTTCCTCTCGTGACAGATCGAGTAGGCGGGACCGTTCCAGAGACAGGGACAGAAGGGATAGAGATAGAAGATCTAGATCTAGGGATCGTAGATCCAGATCGAAAGATCAAAGGTCATCGGTGGATCGTTCGAGAGATGGAAAACGATCTCCCGATCGCTTAAGAGAAACTAAGGAGAAGATAAAGGACAAGAAAGTGGATGAAAAAATTAAAAGATCAACTGATACGGGATCGCGAAAAGAATTACGAAACGGAAGGTCTAAGTCAAGTAGCTCGGAAAGTAGCGAAAGTAGTTCCTCTAGCAATGAGGATGAAGTGACCAGGTTAGTAAACAAATTATCTCATACTTTTACGTTTTGTTACAGACCTTACGGTTGTTGTTGGAGCGTAAAGCAGCTATGTTGTGTTTCCTGCTTAGCAGTGAACAAATATTCTTGTGTTCTCTAATAATATTTTTCGCTATCTATGTGCAGAAAATCTCTTGAACGGAAATCATCTCAGGAAAAGCGAGAACGTGAGAGGGAACGAGAACATGTAGATGACAAACGTAAAGAAAAGGAAAAACCTGCCAAGGAAGAATCTATCAAACGACCTGAAAAGGATATCAAGAAAACTGAACCTGTAAACATCAAGAAACCAGATCCTAGCGTTTCTCCTAAAAAACTTCAATCTGCTACACTTCCTGTAACTAGGCATAGAGTAAGTTGCATTATATTGTTTATGTATCAAATATTTTTATATAGATTTTATAACAATTATCATTTTTATATAATTTTAGTTTTCAAAGAGTTTATCACGAACACCATCTCCATTTAAAAAGACTGAAGACATTATAGCTGCAGTTAAAGTTAAACAATCGAAGTAAGTTTAAATATATGTTTTAAATATTTTTCAAAATAGATAAAAATCTTTTAATTTAAGCGTATATTATTTGTTTTTTCTTTTTTCTTTTCTTTCTTTTTTTTTTTTTTTTTTTTTTTTTTTTTTTTTTTTTTTTTTCTCTTAAAAAAAAAAAATTTTTTTTTTTGTTTGGGGTCCCCCCCTTTTTTTTTTTCTTAAAAAAAAAAAATTTTTTTTTTTGTTTGGGGTCCCCCCCTTTTTTTTTTTCTTAAAAAAAAAAAATTTTTTTTTTTGTTTGGGGTCCCCCCCTTTTTTTTTTTCTTAAAAAAAAAAAATTTTTTTTTTTGTTTGGGGTCCCCCCCTTTTTTTTTTTCTTAAAAAAAAAAAATTTTTTTTTTTGTTTGGGGTCCCCCCCTTTTTTTTTTTCTTAAAAAAAAAAAATTTTTTTTTTTGTTTGGGGTCCCCCCCTTTTTTTTTTTCTTAAAAAAAAAAAATTTTTTTTTTTGTTTGGGGTCCCCCCCTTTTTTTTTTTCTTAAAAAAAAAAAATTTTTTTTTTTGTTTGGGGTCCCCCCCTTTTTTTTTTTCTTAAAAAAAAAAAATTTTTTTTTTTTTTTTTTTTTTTTTTTTTTTTTTTTTTTTTTTTTTTTTTTTTTTTATTGTTTATAGAGAAGATAACAAGGAAGGATCACCAAAAGAAGAAACGAATTTTTCATCCGCAGATACTTTTCCGTTAAAAAAAGATGACAAATCAGTCAAATCACTTAAAGTGGCATCTGAGGATAAAAAGTCAGGTCAAAAATCTTCTGAACCAATACTCTTAAAAAAACCAGCAGAAGTTATGAAGAAATCGAAGAAAGAAAAACGCGATGGTTCTACAGATTCTAATGACAGTGAAAGTGAAGGTAGAAAGATGTTAGAAGTATGTTTTTTCAATATATTATGTTCAATAATATTTTTTTATTATAGGAAAGAAAAGACCAAGAAAATTAGAGAAATCTAGGAAATCCAGAAAAACTTCTACAGATGAAGAAAAATCAGAAAAATGTGGTTCTAGTTCGGATTCTGAAGAGGAAAGAAAGCATACAGAAAAGAATAAAAAACTTAAAGACACAAATCGAGGAGGTAAATTTTAATTATATCAATTTGATAATATTTATTATAATTTTTAATATTTTGATAATGTTCACAGACTCATTAGATGAACGTGCAAAAGACAGAAAAGATAGTAGAAAACGAGAAATCAATGAAAACGAATCTCGCAAACGCTCAAAAAAAGAATTAGAAGAAGAAACAAAAAAATCAAAAAGATCAAGAAAAGATTCTTCTTCAGGAGATGAAGATCAAAAGATAAAAAGAAACAAAACTGAAGATGATAGGTCCAGATTACGAAAGTCTAAAAAAGATTCAAGTTCAGATGATGAACCGAAAAAAACACGAAAACGAAGAGACAGTTCTTCGGAGGATGAAAAATCAAGAACAAGAAAATCAAGAAAAGATTCTACAAGTGAAGATGAAGGAAAAGTGCGATTAAAGAAATCTAAACGAGATTCAAGTACAGATGATGAAGAAATAGGAGAAAAAGATGCAAAGAAAAAGAGAAAAGCTGATGATAGTTCAGATGAAGAAAAAGTGAAGAAAAAACGTAAAAAGAAAACTAAAACAAGTACCAGTGAATCAGAGGTAATTATTTATTTTATTTCATTAATTTAATTTATGGAAATTATAAATTTCTATTTCTTATTTATAATTTGTATCCAGGAAAGTGAGGTAGAAGAAAAGAAAAAGAAAAAGGATAAGAAACATAAAAAACATAAAAAACATAAAAAGCATAGGAAACATAAAAAGAAGAAGGTTGCAGATTCTGACGAATCTGATGTAAGTGAAGGTAATACAGAAGAACTTGAAAAAAAACTTCGTGAAAAAGCATTAAAATCCATGAAAAAGGGACATAGTATAGAAGGAAGTGATTGAGGTTTAAAAATTAACGAGGGTGTGTAACGTGTGTACCTCTGTATTACAATGCACTTGCTCTAATTATATCACGAATACGTTTCTGTTTATTATTATCGATAAATAGGATTTTATCGTATCACATATTTTTTGTGTAAAACAAGTCTGATGTTATAAAACAGATTCAACTAGATGAAGAAATCTAATTTTTATGACTCTAAATATTAAGATTATGAAGTTAAATACAATAGAAGGTGGTGGAGGCCGTGGAGGTCGTGGTGGTCAATCTCGCGGACGTGGTGGCAGGGGTAGGGCTCCCGCCAGACACAATGCTGGTAATACTATTACTGACTATATCAACAATGTAGAGAACACACAAAAACGTAATGGCAGAAGCGGTGGATCCAACACGAGAGACAGTAGAGAACCCAGAGATTTTAAAGACAGAGGGCGTGTTGTCACAAAGTAACATTCAATAATTTGTTGAAACAGTGCTAGGATTATTACTATACAAGGTTTATAGTAGAAACTCAGTTATTCGGATTTGGCGGGATGACTTTTTAGTTTGAATAAATAAAGATCAGGATATCATTCGATATTCCCGCTACCACCTACTAGTTCATTCATTACCCAATACAGTGCAAATATATTTTTTGTGTCATACATTATTTGTCATAATTTAATCCATTTTTTACTATATAATAAACTGCTCACTTTTAATAATCTATAGAAAAATTTGATGTATTTAGATATTTCTTAATATCTAAAAGTTAATAGATAAAATAAATTACATATATAGCTCTACATTCAAATATATAACTTATAAAAATATTTTTTTCTTTGAATTGACCAATATTTTCTAAAGAATCTTTTTTGAGCTCAGTAAATAAAACAATTTAATGTTAGAGATTCGGATAAACGAGTTTTTACTGTAATTCATTCTTGGAAATACTCATTAAATGATTTAAAAGTTTACTTTATTACATTTAATAAATTGAAAGCTTACAAATTTGTAAATTTATCAATATAAGCATAAAAAATAATGATCAAAACATATACAAAGAGAATAATTTTTTCTTCATGTATTAATTTATTCATGATTTTTATTATTATTAACGTTAAAATAATTCATTTATTCAAATCAGATTTGATCTTAATATCTTTTTATAGTCGTTAATGCCTTTCATTGTTTAATTATATAGATTTGAAGCTATACTTGTTATAAAACCGTTTCAGCTATTTAGTTTTTCATCGTACATCGTTATTCGTAATTCATTGTTTTTGTCATAATTACTTTATACTTTCTCAATTAATATCTATAGATATATTCACAATTCGCATTTGTAAACATGTCATCACATAGAACATGGAATTATAATAGAAAATAACTGCAACCATATGCATTTGCATGTATGTGTTTAATGGAAATGCATGTAGTAGCTAAGTAACTCACGGTGTGTGATTTATTTGATTTATTGGTTATTGAGAAATAAATAAAGTACATAATATTGTTTTGTGTGCGAATTGTCTAATCACGTATTATATATCTTAAGAGTAACTACTTTTTATGGATTAACAAATATGCCGCGTCAAATTTATGACATGTACGTATATAACGACTTTTGAATCTTTCATTTAGTTAAATAATACATTGAATGTAATTAACTTTAATTGCTTTTTAAACGTTAACAAAATTGAATGTTGTCTTAACTATATAGGTTGTTTGCAAGTTGATAAATAAGAAATTAAGAAGCAATTATGTTATTATTTTTATTAAAAATGTACTTATATACGTTTTGTAATAAAATTTACCTTGTAAAATACTCCACGTGAATCTGATTTTTAACTTATAAAATATTAGGTAGTAACAATCACAAGTATTTTACAAATGTTCTTAATTACATTAATGTAATTCAATAAAACTATATTCTGTGATTTAATACTACATTAATATATTAGTTTTCATTTAAATTTGTATAAATTTATGGAAATATAAATATTAACGGTAGAAGAAGAAATTAAAAAATTAGTGAGCTTGATTCCAAAGATGCCTCTTCACTCCCAATTAATACCCTTAGTTATTATAATGGAAAACATCATTGATAATGTGTTAAATGCTACATTGATCATCATCGACTACAAGTAAGGATACTAATCTTTCATCATTTCATTTGTTTTACAAAATCATTAAAATGTTTGTGTTCATCGTGTTACATTCAAATTTTAACTTGTTTTTTTGTTATAAATCTGATTTAATTTACAGGATTACGCCGAGACACCTTAGATGGTAGTGAAGATCGAGTAAGGGATCTACCGCCAAGAGGTGGCCATCAAGGAGGTGCAGGCAATTCAGGGTATATGGGTGGTAGACAAGGTCGTCCTCCAACTCAACGTAGAGATCGTAGAGATGAACGTCGTCGAACAACCGATGATGAAGATACTGTTCTCGATAGTCAAGATGTTTCAAGTATTGATAGAGGTAACAATATTTTTCTAATAATATTTTACAGTAGAACAGCCGTTTCGTCCTAAAGATTAGTAAAATCCTTTGAGAATAGCATGGATTGTGAAACAAACACTTGTGACCATCTAACACTAACAATATCAATGATGATTACTAATGCACGCTACTAACGTATGTGAAATGTAGCTTTTTATATAATCAGTCACAAAAATATTTAATTTTCAGTAGTATTTTTATATTATTTTATAAAAAGATGGTCACAATAGTTTGCATATGCATAGAATCTGTATCAAGTGTGGAGGGAGGACCTAAAGGCATAAGGCGAAGACGACTTCGACGTTCTCGACAACGTAGTTCTACACCAACAAGTAATCAAAAAGGTAATTACGCGAAATTTAAAAAGGATTTATGATATTTCTTTAGGACGATCGGTATTAATAACATAAGAGTAAGTGCAGTATTAAATATGTTTCAGAATGCGTATTGATGTTAATATACAGTAACACTCAGAGTTAATCTATATATTTGTTTAGGCAGCAATGCCGGTCCAGGAGACCAATCAACTGTAACTAGTAAAGAAGGAACACCAGCCAATGACGTTTCTACTACTAACAACAGTTCCCAAGGGCCTAAAGGCCAAAGAGAATTACGGTCTCGTCGTATGCAACAGAGCAATAAGCCTAAGGAAGCTCTGGTTAACGGTACCAGTGGCTAAACAATCATTATGGTCGACAACTGCTACTTACATATAACATTACACCTGATGAGAGCTATTAACACCCAGCACATAACATGACGCATACCTACGCAAAGACTACACGATTATGGATCGCGACATGATTAGTCTACGCTCGTTGTTAAGACTGTTTGCTACCGATAAGAATACGACTGTTGTTTAAGAAATCGTCATTCTCCTTAAACACATTTAAGGACACATATTAATATCCATGCATGGTTTAGTTTAATGATAGTGATTATGCTATCATGTTTGATATATGGATACATTCATTGGGAGATAGTAGAAGCATCTAAAAAAGAATCCCCTGATTGTGAAACTGTGCCTCATTTTTATACCAAGCTCCCAACTTGTGTGACAGTAATTTGGATGTACTGTAAAGTACTTCTTAATCACTTGAAAAAAGATCTAATAATAGGCTGGATATTTGTGGCTCGTATGTCAATTATCAATTTGAATAATTTTCGCCTAGATGTGTCGCTATTATTATAAAAAAAATAACACAATACGTACAAAAACGCAGGATTTAATCAATTTTATTCTCTTTCTTTTTGTTTTTTATCTTTTACATCATTGCAATAATTGTAATAAAGACATATTTGACATATGAACAAAAGTACGTGTTTTGTGTTATTTTATATTCACATATAAAAACAAAAAATCAGTAATTGAACATACTGGGTATAAAACATTTTGCGACAAAACTAGGACGAAACATGATATGATGAAAGAAAAAATGGATTCCCATTGTTAATTATAACAATGGTAGGTGGCAGCTGCATGAAATCTTGGTTAAAAGGTGTTCCCAATGATGTTCCTTCTATTTACTTCACAAGATTGATTTTTTTTTTTTTTTTTTTTTTTTTTTTTTTTTTTTTTTTTTTTTTTTTTTTTTTTTTTT